TTATTCAGCTTTCAGATGATGCATACATCTCAATTTTGAAAAATGTACCCTTATGACTGGTTTTGTCCTCCAGGGTCACAAATAGTATTTTCTTGTGAAAAATCACTTGTGCACTGCACATCTGAGACCCAAATGGTTTATCTGAAATATTACGAAGGCATATTGGTGTTTGCAAGCGTATTAGTATTAGTATTTGGTATGCATTGTTCACATGCAGGATATTGGATGTAAATCTGTGCTGTGGTCTGGCCTGTCTTCCTTTGGCAGAGCCACTGTACCCTACTGCTAGCCAGCTGTCACCCTGTGAATGAGAACGGACTGGTGAGGACAAAGACTCACACCCATGTCTCTCTTCTGTGTTACGCTCTCTCTCTCAGCCTCTCGTCTTTCAGTCCTTCTCTCTGATGACACAAGCATCCCGGCTGCTCACAGCAGACACAGAGGCAGAGATCAGAGGAACATCACAACACCAGAAACAAGCTCTGAGATGGAGAGAGAGGGATGCATCTTATAACATAAGCATTTATACAGCTCTTAAGAGATGGCCATTCATCACAAATAACTGCATCGTTGTCCTTGTTTGTCCTAAATGTGGCCTTCCAGTCTGCTTGTGTTAGAAATGAGGCCGTTTTGCTCTTTAATTAACAGAACGGAGCACTGAATGCACTGATGTAGAAATTTTGGTAGATTATGTGTAATTACTATTAACTAGTGTTGCTCAATTGTAAGGAACAAACTGAAATGAATATTGGTATACACTGCACACAGGATTTTAATCTTACTTAGTATTTTTGCCTTATTTTGACTTTTCCAGACAAGCATTATTAAATCAAAATACTTTTAATTGAGAAGCCAAAGAACTGCAGCTATTGAATTAAGTGAAATATCAAAATTAAGTGAGTTTATGCTTAAAACAAACCAAATATCTGTCCAGTTTATTTTTCTTACCGCATGGACAGATTTGTCCTCTTGTTTTGAGCATAAACTCATTTAATGTTGATGCATTTGATAAAGAAAACCAGACTTGGAAACTGCTTTTCATGTAAATGTTCATGTGATATCTTGATTTGAGAATGTTCAGATATTTGTGCTGGAAAGACATTTGTGTAATAATTTGAGGGGTGCGTAAATGATGACAGAATGTGCATGCATGGTCAGCTAACTTGCTGATTTCAAGATGTAGCCCGGGATGTCAAGATGCAGTGATTGTGATCTGACTGTGAACCGTGCTGTTGGGAGTGTTAGGCATGCAGGCAGAATCCTGAAGCTCACGGCCAGGGGATTATTCATTCAACAACACGACATTAAAGCCGTTTTAACCCGGCCTGTGCCTTAAGAGGAGATTGCTTAGGTTTCCCTATTGAATCAACAACACGTCTTCTGTGACCATCTGATAGCACAGGTGCCTCAAACAGATGTCTAACTGATGCTGGCTTTCACCTGGAGAATGTAGTAGGCTAGGTAGAGCTATTGCTGATATGCAGTATGTCTCGAACACGTCCCCTGACCCTTTTAGATGTTAGAACACAATATTAGAGGCTTTCCAAATGATGCACTCTTTAGCAGACGCATTGACAGTCCTGTTTACTGATGGTTCCGCCAACCTGCTGCTGTGACCGTACTAACTCTTCAGGGAGCACAATCAAATAAATAAATAGAGGTGTTGAAAGTGATTTGAGCTGTGTAACCTCAACAACACCTTCTCTTCCCGAAACCCCGCCCTCCTCTGACATGTCAACCTGCCCCGTGCATTTACATGCATTTCAAATGATTGACGTGCAGAGAGCGCGTGACTCGGTTCTAGGGCTGTCACAGATATCTGTCAGGCAAAAGGCACATTTTATTTTGGGCGCTCATGCATGTAGCTTACAGCACCCTCAAGAGTAGCCTATATCCCAGATTTCTCAATTAAATCTGTTCGCAGCACAATGAAAAACAGTATGTGAAGTCAGCCTGTGCGCCTGACCAGTTACCAGCGCGTTAAACAGGTTAGTTGCATGGCAAATATAGCCAGAAATCACACAAGCGTTTATCTTGAGGTCCAGAACACCAACACAGGCGCGCATGAATTTTATTTAACTTTTTTTTTT